ATATATATATATATATATATATATATATAAAAGACAACTTCCACATTATAAGTTAATTTTGTAAAATTGAATTAAGTTCAATTTTACATTTTAAGTACAAAAATTTAGGATGTTTATAAATCAATTTGATATTTTGATTTGATGTAACCTGTCAAAATTGAATTAAATAAGTTGAGAACCGGACAAAACTAGAAATTGAAATTGAAATTTTTATTAATTAGATTGGAATAAAGTTATCATCTAATTTTTAAAAAGTAATAAATTCAATTTAAATTGAATTTATACAATTATCATATTTATAAAACTACCATGAGATCATACTTGTATAAGTAAAAACTAATGGAATTATCATATTAATTTTTATAATTTCATTATATGATTAAGATTTGTATTATTTTTGTAAGAAATTTTTAGTCTATTTTAGTTAATATTTATAATTTAGACGTGATAATTGAATTTTCAATTAATCTTTTTTATAATGATTGTATACTTTTAAATTTATTTATTATTAGTTACATATTTAAAGTATAATAATTGTATACTTTTAAAATTCATTTATTATTAATTACATATTTAAACCCAAATAATCCAATGTAAATTGTTTTTAATTAGATTAAAGTGAATTTGATATCATATTAAAACTGTTCCGATGGCGACAAGGAACAGAAACCGATTCAAATAGAAAATATATTATTTGTATGATGAAATCAAATGGTGATTGTGAAAACTAATCTAAACCCTATATCGCATATAAAATAAGGATTTGAATGCGCCAATTAAATGGTGAGAAATAAAAACATCACTGAAGAAGGTGAAAGGCCAAAGCCAAAATCTGTAACATATCCATGCAATGAATTGTGTTTGTCTTATGTCTGATGCATCGTTTTCAGCAAAGAAATCCAACATAACGGGAAGAACTCCTCATTGGGTGCCTCATACCACACCAGCTGTGCCAGAGATTGGATTTTTCTCCTCTTTATATTTAAAGCTTCTACTGAATTTTTTATGTTAATTAACCACAAGATTATTATATTTGAGTTTGTTAAATAAATTGGTTGAACTTAAATTATGAGTGTGTATATATGAATACAGTCTAAAAATATTTTTGAGAATTACTTTATTAAAAATAAAAAGTGTTTTTTAATAATTTTTTTAAAAAAAAATTCTTCTAAATTTGTATTCAAATATTTTTTAAAGTTAGTATACGAAAAAGGACTAATGTAATTTATAACTATGGCTCCAAAAACAATCACTTAAAGTTAGAAGTAAAAGGAAATAGAAATATGAATGTTATTCTTATAAAGTATGGAGTGTATTTTATGAGAAGATGAAATAGTAGCAATTTTTTTTTCATAATAAAGTATTAGTAATTGTTAATTAAAAAATTATTAAAATTAAGGTAAGATTTTTTACATTATAAAAAAATATTATTTCTGTCCTTAATTATAAGACTCTTTTAACTAAACTACATCCTTTAAAAAATTAGTTAATTTTGTTAAAATAATCATTAAATTTATTAATAATTTAACCATTTTTTTCAAAGATATTCCTAACATTTCTTAAGTTAACCTTTTGTTTTCTTTTTTCCTTCCAAACCTAAAATCATATATCCATGTGAGTACGTAGACATGGAATAATCATATGTCCAAGAGAGTACACCGACATTGAAAGAATTGTAAGTGTGCAATGTTGGTGGATGTGGCTTTCACGTTCAAGTACATGTATAATTAATAAGTCATCATTACACTGTCCCAATGAATATCCCACTTTTTCTCATACACCATACTAGATATCCTATATTCTTTACACCAAATATTAAATATTCACTTGTTTAATTAATTGGATGAATATGTATATGCAGCTAACACCAACCTTAGGTTCACTGAATAAAGTTTTAAATCTAAGTCGTATGTATATAAATACAGTTGTAGCTGATGAATATTGAGTATCATTATTGTAGTATGGAGAGAGTGCCTGGTGTATAGTAATGGTGGTCCTGCTCAATGTGTCCTTAACACGTGGCTTTCTTTAGGGATCATGCCCTAGAGAAGATAAAGAGATCAAAGACATGTTTATACGTAAATCTTGTCATTATTATCATTGGTATACAAAAATCTAAAGCATTTTTTTTTCTTATCTGTCTTTTCTCCTGAGATAACTTAAGGTGGAAATCCTTCTATACATAAATTAAAAGTATATGATCACATTTAATATTGCACAAGATATTATACTTTTATGATTTTTTTCAAAGTAATATCTTTAATTGTTTGAAGTACATCACTCTTTTTACTCGTGTGAATTTGTGACTTCGAAATACATTATTTTATATACCTCAATAAAATAAATTATTTAAACTTAAGAAAAAAAAAAACAAAAATATCATGTGCAATGTCAACAAGTCATAGAGAGTGAAATATAATTTACTTAAAGTGTATTTGGTACACGATTTTTTTTTAAATGGAGAATGATTTTTAAAAATTATAAATCTCAAGAATTATAGTTAATTATTCATATATGATTTTGAGAATATTTATAAATATTATTTAAAAATTAAATATTTTTATTATATTAAATAAGTAAATAAAATTAACATGACATTTTTATTTTATTAAAACTTTATTCTTAACTTGAGAATGTTAGTTTATCAAAGACATGTTTATACGTAAATCTTGTCATTATTATTATTGGTATACAAAAATCTAAAGCATTTTTTTTTCTTATCTGTCTTTTCTCCTTAAATAACTTAAGGTGGAACATAAATTAAAAGTATATGATCACATTTAATATTGCACAAAATATTCTACTTTTGTAATTTTTTTTTTAAAGTAATTAATCTCTTTAATTGTTTCAAGTACATCACTCTATTGTACCCGTGTGAATTTGTGACTTCGAAATACATTATTTTATAGAGAACTTTGTTGTTCAATCTTACCTAAGTTGACTAAAATTATTTTTGGTAGAAGATTCTTGTAGTGTATGTTAAAAAAGTGTATGAGTAAGTAATTACATTTGTGCATTGATATAATTGTGTAGATAGAAACAATTGCTTGTTGTGGTTCTCCAAATCGCCAATTTTGCTATTGTCTCATTTAATTTTCACATGGGTAATAGAAGCATGCACATGCAAAAGAGCCCATATGGTGGCTCATAAAAGGATAAAGAAAATGTAAAAGGCAAGTTAAGAGTAAATGGAAGCAAGTTTGTTGGTACGTCAATGTCTACCCTCTAACCACACGTTCCTCTGTTCCTCCCAACGTTGCATCTTTCGTCTTTTATGCCTCTTTCTCTCTTTCATTTCTTTTCACTCTCTCGTTTAGAGTCTTTGCATTCCATGTGACCCCATTTATTTATATTCCTCTAAGTTTCGAGTTTTTTCTTTTTGGTAGAAATATTTAACAAGTGGAACCACTGACCACAAACAAAATGTAGCTTTAGTATTTCGTGTTCCCATCAACATATGACTTACAAACGAACAAAGATTTTCCTCAATTTCATATTTTTCTCTTGCTAGTAGGCCAATTGAGCTTGCCCCATTCAAACAACTTCGTGTTGTGCATGTAATCAAAGTTATTTCCTCACGTCCTATTCATTCCATAAATTATTTGCAGACTATCTTTGACTTCCACATTTATGAACTTGGTTATTGGAATAATCAATAAA